CTTGATCAAAAGTACAAATTAGAGCAGCGTAATGACGCTATAAAACAGGTAGAAATTTTCGCAGAGAAACAGAGGGGAATTCATAATAGTCTTGCAAGGTACACAGATCGCAATGAGACACATCTTTCATAGCTGCGGCAGGAGCAAGCATTTTACATCTCAAGAACATCCCAACCCCATTATCTTCATGAAACATGGTGATGTTAAAGTTTCTCTCTCCTCCCTTCAGGGTGCTGGCGTGGGATGATGGATGCCGATTGCAACATTTGGGAAAACTCTGAAGACATGATTATTTTGGCCGTGGCTGGTGGGAAAGGGCAAAAATAACGAAGAAAGGACGCAACAGGGCAGGGGTAGAAGGCAGACAGACGGGTAGGCAAAAATTTAAGAAATCTGAGCCTATCCTTCACATTCGTGGAAGTTAAGGGAACTTTCAGCAGACATCTGCACATTTTCAAGATGTCTCCACAAGCCTAAGAAGTAGGATTTGGTTACTACATTTCTGTTTCAAGAGATAAAAGCCGGTTCTCAAGCTTGTTGTGACCCTCTGGCGTCACAAGTTCACGGAGAGTACGTACAGTCTGTCAAATCTTTATTAGAAGCATGGGATGGGAGTTGGTTATCCAGGAAATGGTGTTGTACTACAACACCCAGTAGCCCCAGCTGACATCATTACCCAGCTGGCCAGGGAGAGAAAGGCCTAGATTAGCACAGGTGTGTTACCCCTGCCCCAAACCATTTCTAGGGAACCCCAAGTGGAAGCAACGCCACCCTGCCCCATGGGTGGGCTTCTACAGAGTCACTGGTCAAGACTCTGTGATCCTGGTGTAACTCAACAGGCACAAACCTCAGTGGCCAGTTCAGGGACCCAGCAACCATGCCTACGCTGACCTCTTAACCTGTAGTCATCTGCTGTTGGGATTTATGCCCATTGAGTTATGCTGGTAGAGGTAATTAAAGAGAACGTTGGTCAACGTATGAAAGGGAATGCCAAACTAGGTAGACTTATGACACAGAACAGGGGGGATAGAAACCAGGCTTGTGCATGAAGGAATGAGGCAAACCTTTTATTGGGGCGGGGGATAATTCTGACTAAAGGTTTACCATGACCAAATTTTGCATTGGAATTTCAGGTTGAATGGAACATGGGTTGAATAAACGGCAATAGAGTGGATTGTATCATCAAAAAAACCTCCCTGGGTCAAGCTACCACCGACTCGTCAAGTGGACTACAGAAACCATTCAGTCAGCCTTAGTTCTGATCCCGTGGTATGGATGTGAAATGTTTTGAATCCACTGTATAAAAGGCTATGCATTTTTGTGCTCCCATGCACAAGTTCAGGAGCCCACTACCTACAAAAGGAATGTGCAACATTAAGGGAAAGTTAATGATGTAGGGCAGCGGTTCCCAACCTTGGGTCTCCAGAGGTTCTTGGACTACAACTCCCAGAAGCCTTCACCCCTGGCTGTGCTGGGCAGGATTTCTGGTAGTTGTAGTCCAAGAATCTCCAGGGATCCCAGGGTCGGGGATGCTCTGAAGAACGGGGATGTTGCAGGAAAAGAAACTCCACATGCCAAGTGGTTTGCTCAATGAAACAATGAAATCTTCAAATGCTGTCAGTCTGGGTGGAACGCTGAACCGCCAAGGTTGTGAAATCTTTGCTGGGAGCAACGGTTGCCCATAAAAAAAATGGGATCGTTCTAGAATACCAAAGAAGGGTGACGCAGGCCTCCTGCACAGAAAGATCACCAAAAGGTTACAACGCGGCTCAGGAGAAAGAAATTAAAAACTGAAATGGGCCTGGATTCCTCAGCAATGGAGAATCCATGGAATACCAAAGCCGAATGAGAAAACAAACGCCGGTACTCAAAATCTGATACAGAATCGGCGTTAAGCTTGCCCAAGTTCATTGGTGGGCGTTTCATTCATCTTGAAAAAGGCACCCTTTACAGATGGTTTACATTTAGAAGACTATTTAATATACGCATGAATCACAGGCCCAGGAGCTTGGCATCGCTCCCTGAACCAAAAACTGCCGATTGCAGAATATTTGGCTTTATTTGATGCCCTGCTTTCCACTTCTTTTCTGACTGCTTGTTTAAAAAGGCACCATTGTGTGTTTACCAAAAACAAAAAGACACCACCTATGCTGTTTTCAGGCCAGTTCGCATATCCGAAGTCATCATCTAGGCGGGCGGTCCAGAGTCCTCGGGTCAAAACGGGTGGCCTTTTCATCCATAACACACCTCCCTCTTTTAACACCCCCAGACTTCTTTTACTTGGAACCGGTCCAAAAGCCGTCAGAATGAAAAACGGATCCTTATTTATAGGCGCATCTAAAATTGCTACACGCGGTGCGAAAATGACAGTATTTATTTGTGGCAATCCACAAAAAAAAACACGTTCTAATTTCTTCCTTCTGCACCACAGCTTTCACCAGCTGCCAGCTTTTGCGGGACCATGATCTAAAGAGATGGTTATGAGTTGCAAAGCCCTTCATGGATCGGGGCCTTGCTCCTTGAAAGAAAACAGTCTGGATGGAAGAGATTTTTGTGTGTGTGAAGGGGGTTCTTCTGTTACTCTTAGCATTGCTTTGTAAATTCCCCAATTAAGTTGCACCAGAAAACCAAAATAAATACTCTTTTTTTTAAACACTAATATATGTGAAATCTGGAGACATGGTGAAGCCTAAAGAAGGGACGAAATGCTACGAAGTTTCTAGACAGTTGGCTTCAGGGCTTTATTTACCAAAAAAGTTCAAAGTTTGTTTAAACAACAACAACAGTAGGTTGAAGTCATCTGTGATCTGGCTTCAGATCAATTTATAAACAGCCTTCATTCCACCATGGAAATGAATCTGGCCACCTCGCTGAAATCGAAAACTCCTCCAAATAAGTTCTAATTTGGCTCATTCAATTCGTAATTCAAGTTTTCTTTTCCTCAAAAAGGAAACATCAAAATATTTAAAACAAATATTTCAGCCACCTGCGGTCTCCATTCTGGAGGAAAAGGTCAGCTACAATTTTAAAAAAAATAAGTATGTTGAGTAAATAAAGTAAGTTAGTCAAAACAGTGATGTGTAGGATTGTATTACAATACTATCCTAAAACTCTCACTCTTTCTGAGGGAAAAGCAGGGAAACGCTTCTATCATTTATCAGGTTTCACAAAACCAAACCCCCGATTTTAGGAATCTGGGCACGGCAACCAGAACACAGGAAATGATTAAAAGCACGCAACCAAAGTTGGACTAAAACGCCTAATCAAAACCAGTTTCGAGGTGACAGAATTATGGCGATACTAATAGTCTCTCTGACTCTGATAAAAAAAAAAAGAAATGAGTATCACATGGTTTCTAAAGGACTGTATTATAATCAAGCAAGCCGGGGGAGAAAAGGACATCTGGAAAAGATTTGAAGTTTCCATGACAAACAAAGATTTGGAAGGTAAATTTAAATTTCCCACAGCTTTGAGGAAGAGATAAACATCTATTTCTGAAAACACATAATATTAATATCAGTCATAAAAATACACCCACATAGCCAGGGTATCATAAATATGTTAAGAACAGTTATCCAGCTGAGTGACACTGTTTGCAAGGCATGCACTAAATCGCAATCAACTATCGCTAAGGACTGTGTGACTCACCCAGGGCATCTGGGTCCCCGGAAGCTGCCCCATAGATTTCTGGACCACAGAAAGATCCTTTCCCCACTATCTCATGTTGCATGCAAAACAGAGCTGTTTGCAAAAGCAGCCAGAAACATGCACGCTAATTTCCCAAGAGCCATCACGATCAATTCTGTGGGAGACTCCCAGATATGAAGGGTCTCTTATTATTTTAGATGTCTGTGACTTTATTGTGATTTTACTTGATCACATTTGCATTTTAAACCATCGTGACGGCTTTTAGCCAATACAAGAAACTTGAACACGAACACAGTCCCATGAATCCACCTTTTGAGGTCCCAGAAAATCAGACTTGGCTAGGTTCCCACTTTTAAAGAAGGGCTAAAGGGACCATCTGTATCCTTATTACCTTTTGCTTTGGGAATCATTACGGACACTCCTTCCACAGCTCTAAGCAACCCAATCACGCCGCTTTAGTCTAGCAGTGTGCAATGCAGAACCATCTTGCGCTGAGATAAAACATCACAGCATCACACGCATAAAAGCACTGACAGATATGGGAGAACGACCAGATGCCAACGAATAAGACTATTTATTCCTTTCTTATGCTATTCCATTTTGGTAGTCCTCTCTTTGAATTAATTGTTCTAATTGAAACTGTAATCTGTAATTTTTATGATTTTATATATTTTTACACTGTTCTGTTTTATTTTGTAAGCCGCCCCGAGTAGACATGGTCTAGAGGGGTGGGGTAATCCAATAAACAATCAATCAATCAATCAATCAATCAATCAATCAATCAGACTGGGTCGGATAGACTAATCTTTGGGTCCAGAATAAGACTGCTTCATACATGCTAATGGCATTTCAGGTCATGTCCCTGATTCCTCTTATTCAATCACCTGCTAGTCTCTAATGAGGATATTTAATTGATGGCTTTCACTGCTGTTTTGACTGCACACTGTCTCACTAGCAATGTACTTAAGAATTCCGTCACTGTTTTGTCATTACAAGCCATCCTAGGAGCATCTCACCGTCATCCTCATCATCATCACAGAACTTCAAAGCTATAAGGGACCCTAAGGGATCATCAAGTCCAGCCCCTGTCAAGAAGGCACAAAGGGGGAATCAAACTCCCAACCTCTGGCTCTGCGGTCAGAGACCTCCACCCCTGAGCTCTCTAGAAGTTCTTCTACCTGAAGGGTGGTAAGGACGCTTATAAAACAAATAAAACAAAACCCGGTCTTCAGCAATGAAGATGTCACCCACCAACAGAGCAGCTGCAGGCAAGCGTGCTCACAGAACAAGATGTTTATGCAGGATAACACTGGAGTAGAGACTAAAGAATTAACGCGTTAAAGCGAGCTCACCCAGAACATTTCCAGCAGGCACCTCCTGCAGTTCCTCCAGCGCTCTCCCCATTAGTAAATAGAGGTCTTCTAAGGTGCAACACGCCAAATGCGGGACCGACGGCAAGTCGTCGCTGGCAGAACATCCCGGAGGAAGCTGGGGCCCAGGAGCAGGGAAAGAAAAGAAAAAAGAGTATTAAATATTGGTTATCCTTTCTAGAAGAGTTTCCAGCACCCTCGAAAAAAACACCAACACCAACACAAAGCAACAGCCATGAACAGGCTGGGGGGGGGGTTCTCTTAGTTTTCTCTCCAGACTGCAGGTAAAGGAACCCTTGACCGCCTGTCAGTAAAGAAAAGGGAATATTATAGATTCTTTTAATTTTCTTTCATAAATACTTACAAGGCAGCAAGCAACCTCTAATGTGAAAATGATGAGCATCCCTTTTTCTTAATTTAAACATGTTTAATGATAAACATTATTTGGAGAAAAGAATATGTTAGGCTTATTTGGGTGTGTGGGCGTTGGTGTGCCCTTCAGAGCACCCTGAGCACACTTGATCTTGTCTAATTTTGGAAGCTCCAAACACGGTCGGGTCGGGTCAGTCCATGGATGGAGGCGGCTGGGGACAAGCTGATATCTCCACTCAGGGCTAATAATCCTGCTCTAAACTCTGGACCATCACGGATAGCAGCCAGCCAGAGCTCACAAGACTGGGTTGAGGATCTGACAAAACGGAAAGCAGCTGTCTCTGGAGGCTCTCTCGAATCTTCCCCCTTCACCTTGTGCAAAGATTCGGCAGGGTCGTATTTCGGTCCGAGGACAAAGAGCTTCTGCCCCCTTCTCACGACTCCGCTGAACACCCTCGCAAAGGCCACAAAAACCTCCTTCTGTGCGTCTTCCTGTTTCCCCATCGACAGAGACAGGGTCTCCGTTTGACTGGCAGGCGCCTGATCTTCCCCTAGGAATGGGTCAAGAAAGAAAGAAACATTATTTATATCCCCAACTTGCCATTCTCTGTTCGTGGGCCGGTCATGGCAATGCACAGAACACCGCCGACACCCAGCGGCCGTAATCCATGAGCTGGGATAATAAGGGGGCAGCTCAAGAGGACCCTTGTGCGGGGGAAAAAGAGAGCCATTGCAACATGGAAATACATCGCTTTCTGGAATGGCCCCTTCTTACAAAGGCAACCCCTTCTCACAACCATTGGCTAAAGCCCTCTTTAGCACGACTAACGGCCTTGCCCGCACTGACGTCCGAGCGGCCCTCTGCAAAGGTTCTCCTCCAGCACCACATTTCAAACAAATCATTTTTCCACCTGCCATCTTTCTTCACTCTCCAGCTTTTACACCCCTACGTGGTGACTGGGAAGATCTTGGCCTTGGTCCCATCCTGATACTGATCTTTTCCAGTTCCATCAATGCTCCCCCTTCCTAGTCTCTCCCTCCTTCTGATGTCCTAGCTGTGGTCTCCCTATTGAGGATGACCGAACTAAGGAATACAAAACGTCCACCATGACAGCCAAAGAGAATGAAGGGTGGTTCGACTGAAAGGGAGATGATGGCCAACCAGCGGCTTCGCAGATGGGTCTCGCAAACCAACCCCTCTTCCATACGCCCGTCAAATACGTAGGAAGCGGGAAACGCGCTTTTGGAAACAAAGGTGGACGAGCTTGAGGGGCAATCTCCTGGCACAGAGAAGGGCGTCTTTTTTCCTGAACAGCCCTTCATCAGAATACCTCCCATGGTTAAATCTACAGAAGCCGCAGTCCAACATACCTAGAGATACGGTGGGATTTGAACTTAAAACAGCAAAACCGAGAGGGATTCCTTTTCAAACATGAACCAACCCACCTACCACGTCCCCGTGCCTTCCGCCTACCTTTCGCCTCTCCTGTCTCTGGCGCCTGCTCCGCCAAACGTCCTCCAGCCATCTGCTGCACGGATTCAGGACCTTGAAGAGCAGCTAACTTCGCGGCATGCCGTTGCCTTACTAACTCCTTCCTCTCGGCTATTTCTTCCTGGGACAAAGGCCTACAGATAATTTAAAACATCATTAATTTGGGGGGGGGGTCTCTTCTGGACACCTGGTGTCAGTACTGCTGGGATTTTGGGGGGTTGTTGTTTCGTTTGTTTTGTTTTTTTGAAGAGATACTCAAAATAAGCTGGCATTTTTGCCAAATGGGGTTAATCTGAAACACACACACCCCCGTGGGTTGGCGGGTCGGGAATTCCCACTCATGCCTTTAGATGATCTTGGGCAATAAACCCACGAGGTTGACAACGGAGGAACATGCCACTTCACATCTCATCTCACAAGGCAGCGAGTCCTCGGCTGGAATGGTGCACAATCGCAACAAGCTCTCAACTCTTGGGCTTTGTTTCTCAATGGTAGAAAGCATGGCTCAGAGGCATAAGGCCCCAAAGGCCTGTCTACGGGAGCAATATACCTCCGGGTATAGAGGAGGATTCTAGAGGCTCCCACCCGGAGCTGACAACGCCAGCCTTGGCAGAAGAAAGATCTGACTCGGCACAAGTCCACTTCCTACGATTGTATGACTGCTGTTGAGAGATTTCCAAAACTCTGTGCAGCCTTTCCATTTGCTACACACCAAACAGCAGCATCATTCAAGGTGTTTTGCCTACCAGACACTTCTGGACAAGAGCAAGCAAGAAACGCATGTTGTGGCAACATAAAAACCTGAAATTCATGCCAACCACCAGCTATTTTTTTTATAACATCCATTGTTCGTTCCATTGCTTCACAGCAACTTGCCGGAGTTCTCAAACGCTCCCGTCAAAATAAGTTGTAGCATGCTTCCATTTATAATTAACATACAAAGAAATGTTTTAAAATATTCTAAAAAAAATGGCAAGCAGCTCAGGAGACTTGCTTTAATAATTGTTGAATTACTGGAAGAGGCTCCAGTTCAAAACTGATCCGGTGTGTTTCCAGCTGGATCCATTCACAGACTGTCCTCCCAGCCAACATAGCCACACTTCAAAACCCTTCAGAAGAGGTGGCTCTTTCTCTCTTCGGATCCCCTGGCCCCATCTTTTCTCTCTTGTCTTCCTTGCCTAAGGAAGGTATGTTGACCTGCAGTCTTATCATGGTGCGCTCCCAAACACTGTCCTGGTCCACTGTGAGATGAAGCTCATGGGGTCAGCATGCAATGCACAAATGCCTCTCCAAAGGCTCAGTGGTTTAGGTCTCTGGCTGCAGAGCCAGCGGTTGGAAGTTCAATTCCCCGCTGTGGCTCCTTGATGGGGCTGGACTTGATGATCCATAAGGTCCTTTCCGGCTCAGCCGTTCATTATTGTTATTGCTCAGAAGACAGCAATGAGATCATGGAGAATGACACGCATACACAGAAATGTATGGGTATAACGAAAAGTCTCTGGGCCTTTGGCCACTGGAAAGTTGCTAGTTGTGGCCTTGATGTACAAGGAGATCAATAAAACAAGTGTGTCAAAGGAGGAATCACGAACTGGCCTCTGAGCTTAAGGCCCAGAAATGCAAGCAGAAAAAGGAAGCTGGTCTCATGCAGAACCGAAATGGAAAGTTTGCAATTTCATGGCAAGGTCTTCCTGAACTAGGTCGGCCTTCTGAAAGCGGGAAAGCCAGGGTGCTCCTCCCAGATACGCTGGACCGGGGCTCCCTTCATACCCAGCCAGCAAAGAAGAATGGGCACAGGATGATAGGGAGGGCTTGTTCAGCCCTCCTGGAGAACCTTAAAAGAGCGTTCCGTTGGAGAAAGCTGGAGCCGAGAGAAGCACACAAGTCATCTACTAAACGTAGGGCCTTCTCTGTGGTGGCACCAGGTTTATGGAACCAGGCCTCAGAGAAGCCATGCCTGGCCCCCTCCCTCCACTCATTTCGGAAGAAGCTGAAAACCTTACTTTCCAGGGAGGCCCTTCATTTTGTCCCTGGCTGAATGCCTCACCTCCTGTTCCTCTTTATAATGAAAATCTGTTTTAGTGTTACTGGTTTTTTTGTGTTATGTTATTGCAATTTAGTGTTGCACTCCTCTTTATAATGAAAATCTGTTTTAGCATCACTATTTTTTTGTGTGTGTTATGTTATTGCAATTTAGTGTTGCAATTTAGTGTTATTGTTTTCTGAGTTTTACTTTAACAGCTTGTAAACTGTCCAGAATAGTGCTTTGGCTCTAATGTGGTGGTACATAAGGTAACAAAAAAAAACAAAGTATATTTTAGGCATCTGTCAAACACCTGCAGCGGAACTGCAAGGATAATTCTCCTTACTTATTTGCGGGATTTGGACCCAGCTTCCCAGCCAAACCTGCTGAAGTGAATCACAAGGCTGTCCTCTGTATTATAACCTAAGCGAGCCACAAATCATCATAACCAGAAGAACAAGGCATCATAAGATCATTCCTAGTCTCTAGCCAATGTACAAAGGCGCTTTTGAAATCAACTATTTAACAGCATCAACTAAGGCTCTGCTCCTGAAAATCAGTTTCAAATCCCAGCAGAAAAGGAACACCAGGGAGTGATCGCCATCCTGCACGGCCCAATTACTAGTCAGTGTCTTAAAGGAACAATAATAAACATTTTGTCTCGCAAAAATGGGAATTATACATGCTATCGTTTTAAAAAAAAACAACCCACCGCCTGCAATCATTTAAAGTGCTCTCAGAGTACAGCATGCGACGCCTTCGAAGGCAATCTCCTGGATACATAGACTGCAGCGCACTTAACAAAATGAAAAGCTTCAGCTATTAACACTCTCTACCAGAGGCGTCTTTGAAGAGCCCTCGAGATGTAGAGACGCACACTCCACTTAGGCTCTTGAAACTTACTAGAGCAGGCAAGAAAGAGCCAAGGCCGGTACAGATGCTACCGCAGAATGTTTCGCCTATAAACGTCATGCAACACAGTTCTCTCAACCCACGATGGGGAAACCAGGATTCAATGTGAATCCTCTGTGGGGAGATCAAACCTACCTACCATATATATGCTAGGGTGAAGTGAGGTCAAAGAGACTGTGGACCCAATAGGAACACCAAGACTTGAATCCGCTCAACGCCCTTCTGAACAAAGCCGCCCTTATTCTGCGGCCTCTCCCCCAGGAGGTTCCAAAGAACTCCTGTTCTGGATGAGGCTCCTGACATTTCAGTTTTCCGGTATTGGGTCATTTCCTTCCAGCCTCGGAATCATGCGGCCAGGAAGCAACGCATGCCGTAACAGAGCCCCACTCTCATAACGGGCACCGTCTGCCCATCAACCATTGCTGATTTGCAAAACCGGTTAAGAAACACACAGTTGTGGCTGCAGGAATATTTCCACCGGTGCTTCAGACAGCCAAAGAACCCCATCTAGCGGCCTAAATACTCAGTACACGTTTAACAGAGACGGGATCCTGACATTTTGAAGGCGGTAACCCTGTTAGTTTGCTGTGTCAAAACCAACCAAGATTCCTACATTAGCTTTACTGACTAACAAGTTTTATTCGGCATAAACTTTTGCAGATGGTAGCCCACTTTCTGACGATATACGACCACAAGATTTACTTACTATCAATTTTTATTCGGCATAAACTTTTGCAGACGGTAGCCCTTTCTGACGATATACGACCACAAGATTTATTTATTTATTTATTAAATTTATACCCCGCCCCTCTAGACCATGTCTACTCGGGGCGGCTTTAATTAGGCCCACCAAATAAAAGGTGGGCTGGCAGGCAAGGAAGGACACAATGTTGTATGTTTTCAGGGTCAAAAGACGCATCTAAGTAGAGTAGAAGGGGGAAACCATAGGAAAAGAGGAGCAGGAAGAAACAGAGCAGAACTTACAGGCTCGGCCAGAATTTGGTTGCCAATTTAAACTTCTGTAAGGGAGATTGCACAGATTGAACCGGCAAACTATCAACTCATTAACGAAGTGCGGGTTGGGCTCCTAGCTGCAAGTAAAAATGGGGTGCACATCTGAAAATGCCACGGGTCCCCCAAGAGTCAGCCTCTTGCTTACCAACCAGCTCTTCTAAGAAAGGGGTCCATTTCCAGGTAAGGGCAGGTGAGCTTGGCCCAGCAAAATGATCGAGGCTGGCTTAAGCACCTCCTGCCCTGGGAGCAAGAAAGGGGCCCGAGGGCACCGTGTCCTCACCTTGGCTTGTTCCGCGGCAACGCCTTCGCGTCCACAGCAAACATTTTGGACACAAAGATGACGACCGGCGCGGCTTCTTCACTGCTGCATTTCAGAAACGCTAAGCAAACACAAAACAGAAGAGGAACGTCTTTTTCCGAGGGTCGATGAAAGAGGTGCTGGTTTCACAAGCATCTGTCAAGCAACAGGTTAACCGGATCTGGGATGGGAATGTGCACAAGTCGTTTTAAAAGGCCGCTGAGATATAGCCCCAGTTTGCAAACAATTGCAGGACATCTTCAGTAACAGAACGGTGCAGTTTCTGGTCTCAAACCTCTCTCTCTCTCCTCTCTGACTAACTAGGTTAGCACTTTAAAACCAGGGTCTCATGAATGAAACCAACCTATGAATTCCAAAGATTTCCTCACCTTCTTTTAGGTCCCGTGTTTCTTGGGGCAGAGAATCAAATATTTTCCCAGCGACGCTCATCAGCTTTTCCACTCTTTCTGCAGGGATGTCAAGAGGACTAGGGAGTTTATGACAGACCATGGCTAAAGCACAGAGCTAAGGATCCATGCAGAAGCCAGCTCTCCCTTCCTTGGGAGATGAAAACGGAAGGCTTAGGTAAGAGGTGGTGTAGAAAACACGGAAGACAAGCACAGTGGTTCACAACCTTGGGCAACCCAGGGTTTCTTGGACTGCAACTCCCAGAAGCCTTCAGTTCCAGCTGTGCTGCCCAGGGTTTCTGGGGGAATTTAGAAACAGCAACACACCCTCCTGAACAAGCACCTGGAAGCCCAGGCATCCCAGGGTTTCTGGGGGTATTTAGAAAGAGCAACACGCCCTTTGACCAAGAGCCTCTCCTGAACAAGCACCTGGAAGCCCAGGCAAGGAGATAATAATGAAACAAGCAGAAAGCTGTTCAGGATGACAAACACACTTATCCTCTCCTCAATCAGACTGTTTTCTACTTGATAAAACACTGTAAATGACTAGCAAAATTGAAGTTACTTTTCCATTAAGGATACAGAGAACCGCTTCGGATATAGGCAGCCACTGACTACATATGGCGTTCAGTTGCACCTTCGGATCCGTGTGGCGCAACTCACGGGTGCCGATTTTCAAGCCGAGGGAGGTAACTATTTTTTCAATTTTCTCCTTGTCTCTGCAAAAAAAAGCACACATCCATCCATGCACAGTCAGAGTGTTCCATCTGATCCCCGATCAATTCCAGCCCATCTGTCTTAAAACAGCAGGGCTTCTGGCTCTATTCTCTTGGTGGGTGCAGCAGCACCAGGAAAGTAAACTTTAGGGAGGGGGATTTTCGGAATTGATGGTCTGCCTCTTCCATAATTCAGCAGGAACCTCCCGGGGGGAAGTTACAGGGCTGGGAGCCATCAAGCCAGCAGGAGGTAGAGCAGCCTTCTTCCCTCCGGGGTGCTCGGGTCACGTCTGTGCAACCTTAGAAAAATGCAAAACTAGTGCACCGAGGGAGTCATGAGGATTCCCTGAGACACACATGGGGGGCGGGTTCTGAGGCAGGTGTACGGAACTGGGGGGGTCTTGTTAATTCCAAAAATTCCATCTCTTGTAGATTCCTTGCTTCATCCAACAGGCAACCAACCCAGAGCCCCACATTATTGCCCACCCTGTTTCTGATGGAAATGAACGAGTATGGAAAACTGGACCGATATACAAGGGGGAGAAGCAGCCAGCCCACTGCTGATTCCCCCACCACCTCCCCTGCCAAAGGGCCCGTCCGCCCGGGATCTTTCCCGATTACCTTTTCATTACCGCTTCATACAGGCTCCAGATGTTCTCCAGGACCAGCTGCACAAACAAAGGCTTCTTTCCTTTTGACTGGGAGAAAACGATGGGTTAGGGTGATGCAGAGACACTGGCCACACACAAGGGAGGGCTTGATTCAGACCATCCTCAGCTGCAGCACCTGCCTGTGTGGGATGCATTCCAGAACAACACAAAACCCAACTCCCCTTTACTAACCCTTCAAAACAGCCATAATCCTGTCTTTGGCTTGTGCTGGCCAAAGGGAAAATATGCAAGCCTTACCAGCCAACCGCTCTGCCCACGGAAGGAGGGCTGGGCTGGCCGGCCTCCTGGCACCGTCAGGGGTGAGTGGCAATCAGCTACCAAGACTTGGGTGGTTACACTTATGCAAGTGTAAATTAGCAAAAGGATTGTGGCCACTGAGTATGAAGTACCACAGCCAAACCAGTTAATAGGGGATGATAAGTCCTGGGAGGTGTGGATTATGTTTTACGGAAGGAGGGGCTGGCCGGCCTCCTGGCTCCGTCAGGGGTGAGTGGCAATCAGCTACCAAGACTTGGGTGGTTACACTTATGCAAGTGTAAATTAGCAAAAGGATTGTGGCCACTGAGTATGAAGTACCACAGCCAAACCAGTTAATAGGGGATGATAAGTCCTGGGAGGTGTGGATTATGTTTGTCAGGTGGACTTGCTGCCCGCTGCAGTTCACAGGCCATCGGGCATCTTCTCAAACCAGGGGTTCCACAGACTCAGCATCCTAAATGCGTCCTCTAAGTCTTGATTCGGGCTTGACGGTTTCAATTCAGGCACCCTACAAAAGGCTGCAATCTAGCTGAGCATCAGCTATGCATGGTGAACGTAGCTAATCAATGGCAATCAGCTACCAAGACTTATGTGGTTACACTTATGCAAGTGTAAATTAGCAAAAGGATTGTGGCCACTGAGTATGAAGTACCACAGCCAAACCAGTTAATAGGGGATGATAAGTCCTGGGAGGTGTGGATTATGTTTGTCAGGTGGACTTGCTGCCCGCTGCAGTTCACAGGCCATCGGGCATCTTCTCAAACCAGGGGTTCCACAGACTCAGCATCCTAAATGCGTCCTCTAAGTCTTGATTCGGGCTTGACGGTTTCAATTCAGGCACCCTACAAAAGGCTGCAATCTAGCTGAGCATCAGCTATGCATGGTGAACGTAGCTAATCAAATGTAACATCAAGCTCATTCCAGAGCGTGGAAGTGTCATCTTTTTTTGCACCAGTTGGGGGGAATTCTGGGCGTTATGGTCCAAATAAAGAACTTTTCGAAGCTCTTGAGTCAGGCACATCTGCCATCAGATGGCTGGTGCCCATTTTGGTGGTACCCTCTTGACACTGCAGGTCGGGAGGGAAACCTATTCACCGACCCGGTTTCCAAGCGAGTAACCCTCTCTATCACAGTGGGCAGAGCCAAACACATGATCTCTGTCTTCAGTACAGAATCCAGGACTCCATGTGCAGCCCCAGCAAAAGGATCTTGTTGTTGGTCCTTCTGCATCTCGTTTTCCACAGTAAGTTTTTTGGGGCAGGGATCTGTCCAGCCATGACACTGTAGCAAGTTCTATGCATGCTAAGAATGTCCCCACACACACATACTGTAATCAACAGCAGGGTTTTACACAGGTGAACTCAGCAACAATACCTGGTCAGCCTTCATTACCCCCACACACATCATCAACAGCAGGGTTTTGCACAGGTGAAGTCAGCAACAATACCTGGTCAGCCTTCATTATTTTCTTGGCTTTTGTGTTCAGATAGTAATCCCCCCATAGTGTCTTCAGCAGCACCGAAGCTTTGATTCCAATCTTCTGGCTGTATAGCTTAGCAAAATGCTCGATGCTAGGAAACAAGCAAAAACATGTGGGTTTTTTTTTCCTTTTAAAAAGCTCAGCTACTTTAGCAAAAACATCTAACCGGATTACCAATAAGCACCCACAAACTCACCCAAAGCCCCAGCCATCAATGGCACTGGCGAAAACCACGTTGCCTTGGTCAGGAGAAAAGTACAGGTGGGAATCATCCGTGCATTCCAAGCCGGCACTCCAGTCGTAAACTTGATCGCCCTGCACGGCACCGGGTGTAACCTGGGCTTCCATCTCTTTCTCAGCTCTTTCTTCTAGGACTTTAGACGTGAAGAGCGTGGCAGTGATTGCGTTCACCTAGAAATACTGTCCTTCAATTCATTGTCCTTATTTCACCCCAGCTTTTCATTATGCAGAATCTAAGGGCAGCTTAAATCAAAATCCCGCCCTCCAAAACAATGGTTGAATAAAAATATAAGATATGCTCTAGAATGAGTCAAACCACAGCAATGTCATAATTTAAAAACAAAAAAAAACACCAACTAATGCAGCAACTGAAGGGCAGATGCTATCCTTCAACCTCAAAATCCCTCCGGAAACAGAAACGTGTGTCATCCTCAAAATAATGTCAGCAAGGCTGGGGAACTTAAATCCCACGGAGGGTGCCGCCACTAAGGAGGCATTGACTGGTTCGGCTCCACACAGGATTGACAGCAAAGCTATGGCAGGGGATGCAAAAACAGGTAGGAAGGAGAAAATAGGAAGAAATAAACCACAAAGTCCCAAATTCTAGGTTCTGTTACATGTCCTTTTACCTGCTGATTTCTCCCCTCCACCTACAGCCTTTTTTTTCTGCATTAGTTTACCCTTTGACAGCTCTGGCTTTTGTTTGCTCTGCTGGAATCAACTAAAAGCCAAATCCATTTAAAAAAATTAGAACTATCACCCCTCTGCTTAAAACCGAACATGCGTTTTCTCTGTAATGGGAGCTACTTTTCATGAACTAAACCACCGCTCATGTGACTTGCCGTAGAGCAGGAAAGTATCCTTGAAGCAGACCCTTTAACAGGATTAAGGTTAAACCTAGCAATTTGACATGAAAACTAGTGAGGCATTGCTGATGTTTGGGAACTGATAAGAATGGGTTCCCTGTGACGGTCACCCCAGGATCATCATCAACTGCTTTTGCATCTGGTTTAAGATTTTTGTATGCAAGTGCTTTTGTGTCTAGTTTAAGATCCTGAAATTCAAAGGAATTTCTCTACAGTCCTTTTCAAAGCAACACGGAAGTCCATGGTTTATTTGCTACCTTCTTCACTCGACACATAAGACAACACTGCAAGTCACCAACGCTGATTTCCCAGAATGGTGATCCAGCCACCTAGAAGTCTCTCCTACCTGTTCCAAGATATTCTTAAGGTGAGAATAAGCCTCCTGTGGCGTGAGCTTGAGTTCCAATATGAGACGATCTATTTTATTAATGACCAGGACCGGGCAAATATTTTCAAGCCAAGCCTGCCTCAAAACAGCGTGTGTCTAGCAGAAAGGAAAGCACACATGTTGACGTAAAGTTAACAAACAGAAAATAGCAAGTACAGCTTACTTAACTTTCACCTTCTTTGAATACATAATCCAATGAGATCTAGTTACAAAGTAGCTCTGGAACTTTCTATTTACCCCTCCGTTCTTGCATGTAAACATCTCCCATTCAAAACATTGTTTCAGCATTACGTACAACCATCATCAGCTCAAAACAAAGCCAGATTTGCTTGGGAAGCTTGACTAACATTTGAGGATTTTCTTCTTGAAAATCTACTTCATTGACATCCACGAGTTGTAGGTGTCCAACCAGTCTCCACAGCACAATACGGATCTGCACCCTTCCTTATTGGATATTCTGCATGTCATGTTAAAAACCATGTTATCTTCCTGTTTTGCACGTAACACCCATTCCATTTTAAAGACTGATTTATTCCACCTATCAGCTGCCCCTTCTCTTGTCTCTGTGTAACATTTAGGAACATCGAAGAATATTTTATAGTTCATCCCCTCCCCATTGGAAAGATGTTTCCCCACCCAAGTCACCTGGGGGCAGACTCCCTCCACAGCATCGACCACAATGATGCAGCCATCACAGAGTCTAACGGCAGTGGAAACTTCTGATGAAAAGTCCACATGACCCGGAGAGTCTATTAGGTTGATAAGATATTCCTGACCACCTAGAAACAAAGAAAATGTGAGTGGAAATGATCATCTAGAAGAGTGGTTTCAAAACTCTGTTCTTGGACTACAACTCCCAGGGATCCTGGCCAGCATAGCCAGCAGCGAAAGCTTCTGGGAGTCTGAGTTCAAGAATATTCACGGGATCCAAGAACAACAGCAACAACAATGAAAGTTTTAAAAAACTTTATGCTTTCCCTTCTCCGAACATGAAGGGGAAAACATCAAACCTGAGACCCTGATGACTTTTTGTTTAGCATCCTACATAAACTAGTGCTTATACTAGGTGACATAATCTTTAAAAACTACGGTACAAACCTGTTGTACAACGCCACCTGCACAACAGGAATGATGTCACCAGCAGCGACAAATTGCCCCTAATTAAAGAGTCCCTGCTTTGATTTTGGGGCGTGCACAGGATTCCAGACACTGGTATGTATTTTATATTCCATCAGTCAAAGTCTTTGAACCTCCTGAAGGCACTACCTTTCAATCAGAGCATTCCACAAACTTATTACAAAATTTAAGAGAACAACCACTTCTCCAGAGTGTCTTAGACCACATTACCTTCTCCAAACTGCAGTGAAATAGCACTCGATTTCATAGTAATTCCTCGAATTTGCTCATCTTCTCGGCTATCCATGTACCTCAACTATACAAACAGGGAGAATGGAAAGCAGCCGATCTATATTCGCAGTTTAGATACTTTTAAGTATGAAAAAAAATTTAAGAAGGAAAATAATAAAGGACAAAAAAACTGGAAGGGCTGGAGTCGTACCTTTCCTGCTAGTCTACTGGAAATGATCCCATTACTAGAAATAAGGCAGTCAGCTAAAGTTGTCTTCCCTGATGGAAAGGGGTGGGGAAAGAAAGACAAAATAATAATACAGAACAAGCACTTAGGATGAAAAATTAACCAGTATAAAATAATAATAATCTTAGAATTGCAGAGCTGTAAGGGACCCTATAGATCATAAAGTCCAACCTCCCTCAAGGAGGCATACCGTGGAGGAAATCTAATTCCCAAACTCCGGGTCCGCAACCAGAAACCTAACCACTAAGCATTTTTCAAAAAAGTTTGTTTAAATATTGTAACCCCCAGGTTCTCTATTGAAGAGCAAAGCAGGGTATAAATATTTTAAATAAATAGTTTGTTTTAATATTGTAAACCCCCAGGTTCCCTATTGAAGAGAAAAGCAGGGTATAAATATCTTAAATAAATAGATGGTAAATAAAGCATGTATAAGACAAGCAATATATAGGCGAAGGAAAGAAAGCTTCAACAGAAGATGCCACTAAGGTATCTATTGCTGTTCAAAGCGCAGTATGCTATTCTTACCATGGTCCACATGCGCTAGGATACAAATATTTCTTATATAGGCAGTACTTCTCTGAAGCTCAGCTGTCTTTTTCACACTGGTGAGAACCATGGCTTAATGTTGCTGTGCTGTAAGAGAAAGCATTTCATACTGAGGAAAGAATATTTCAATAACCTGCAAGATTGTACATAAACATTAAGGGAGAGAAGATGGACACAGCTTGAGCCATGGAACAGAAAGAGGCAGTTAAGATAAGGCGGCTGGCTCCCCTTTCTTGTCCTCCAATTAAAATATGATTTTTTTTTAGGGGGCATCTCTTAGAACAGCTCCTTTCTTGTCCTCCAATTAAAATATTATTTATTTTTTTTAGGGGGCATCTCTTAGAACAGCATTAATTGGATGGCAATACAAGGCGCGCCATCCTGAACACACACACACCAATCTTGTCTGATTTGGGAAGCCATTTTTTTACAAATGGGGGAAATCATTTTGAACTAGCAGCCCACCACAGACTTTTGTCATTTAGTCACCCAGTAATTAGCAGAAACAAGAGGATCCTGTCGTTTAAGTCCTGGTTCTAATTGGAGAGCTGCAATCCTGGAGTAGGTACAACCACACTTGGAAGACCAGAGGTTTTACTGCCGGGGTTTCGTTTGCAAATATAAGCAGGATTTAGTTTCCACGAGGCTGAAGGACACAAAGCTTTACACGAGAGTCATAACGTTTACTCATTCCTTTAATATCTGAATCATCCTCTCTGTTTTAAGCTTGCCACTCGCTCTTTCCTTTCCTAGGCTGCCCCTCTGGCCAAGGGCCCCCTCTGTAATTAAGTTAAGTTTCATTCAAGCGACTCTCCTGAGGGGCAACTCCCACCCAGGGAGAAGGAAATACATTTAAATTTAAATTAAAATCAAATTTCATTCAAGGGAGCCCCCGGAGGGCTCCTGCGCCTTCCGCTCCATTCGGCCTCACGACGACCCTGAGAGGTAGGCCAGGCTGAAGACCCCCTCCCCTCCC